TGTTACGTCTATTTCCCCTGAATAAAATATTTAAAGAGTGATGTGGCAGACAAATCTAGTGGAGATAATATATTTATACAACAAAAATTTCAGAATGGAAGAAAAATGAAAAGAAGATACAATTATCAAATTGATAATATAAACTAATATTCCCTGTGCTAAAATGCTCACTATGTGCCAGCCAATATTAACTAACATATATCTGGGTTAAATTCTGTAATATAAAGGATAAGGGATAAATCATAAAAGCACTAAATGCCAGAGGCCATGCAGCTATGTGAATGTGAAGGTTTTAAAAGGGGTGACAGGTAAGGATTGTGACTCAAGAATTTCAGGTTGATGTGAATTATCAGTGCTATATGAGAACAAAGTATTCATTCATCTGCCCTCCTCTTCCCCCCCTTTCCCTCCCCTTCTTTTCCTTTTTTTATGGTATAATAGCTGTTTCCCCAAAAACAACCCTTCTTCTCACTCCTCATTCCCTTCCTTCTTGTTCTCAAGTACAATGACCATTCCTATCTCAGGGCCTTTTGGTTTTTGTTTTTGTTTTTTTTTTTTTCTTGTCTGGGAACTTCTCCCTGTTATTTATATATGCTCATCCTGTGTTCATTCATGTCTGTCAATTTACTCTTATCAAAGAAGTTTGACCTTTCTATATAATAGCACTCTCTTCCTTCTCCCCCTCTTTATCTTGTTAGATATTTTCTCTAGCACTTATTGACATCTAACACATTATAAACCTGTTTTTAATTGTCTCACTTCCCTGGATATATTTTTCTTGAGAGTCAGGACTTGTTTGGTTAACTTCTGTATTCTTGTACCAAACACATAATAAATGTTAAATATATATTTCATTTAATTAATGAATACATTGAACGTAGGTGTAAACCAACAAGAATATCCTGAGTGACTGATAGAGACAGTCAGCTACCCATAAGTAAAAAGCATTCAAGAAAAATGAACAGTCTAAAGAAAGAAAGAAAATAATAATTTAGTTTTGGAGCTGATGCATTTAGCTTGGCTAGAGAAAAACTTTCATCTCCATGCAAAATATTGTGAAATAAGACTTTAAATAATTTGTTGGGGCCCAATTACATGTTAACACCATACTAGAAATGCAGTGTAACATGTTGGCAGGAGGAGGTGGGGAGAAAATGAAGTGAAAACATGGTAGAAATATGAAGGGCTTGGATTCCCCTCAAATCTATGTTTGTCAGCAAAGTTTAACTCTAGAATTCATAAACCTAGTCAGTAACTAAAACGGGATATAATGGATAAAATCCTAGACTCCAGGTTAGAAATGAGGCTGAGATTGATGATAGATTTCTACAGCCACAGTTATAACTGGAACAAAAGCACTCCTGAGTTCACAAATTTTGGGAGGTGGGTGAGGAGTTACATCAGAGAATTGGAAACTAGGAAAAGTCAGGGCCCAGAAAACAGGGCAGTTAGCAATAGAGAGGCAAGAGTGTGTCAGCAAGACCAAGGTAACCTGAGAAGAAACTCTATTTACTGTCTCAGAAAGCCAGATACTATTAGTGCAATCACTTTACAGCAATGAAAGAAAACATAGGTTAAAAAACAAATAGGGAAACAAAAACCTAAAGAAATAGCCCTAGTTAGATTGAAAAGCATCTGATCAGGCAGGCACTTGAAATGCCATTAGCTATGGCCTTTTAGAATCAGCTAGAGAATATTTGATGTTAGGAGTTAGCTTAAATGCTGCTCAAGACAGTGTTAGCTTGGATGTGAGGGTCACTTCTATTTAGTGTGTTATTATCTCGGGTCATAGAATTATACCAACTGTAATCCTTCATTTATGACAACTCTGATTATGGGCTTTTATTTATGTTTTTTTATTTGTTCAGTTAATTGGTTATTAGAATTCATCACTCAAAAAAATTTAGAACTTTATAATAATCTTTATTTATTTAACTGTCTGATAAATCCTCTCATCCTTCCCCACTTATCCAAGAGAACAATCGCCCCAAAACCTATGTTTATCTTTCCCTTACATTTCTTTGTATAAGTTTCTCATTTCATACATATGTATCCCTAAATTTATTTACTTTTGTTTTTTTTTAATCTTATAAGAAGGATATTAGGGTATATGTAATATTTTTAAGTTTATCCTTTTTTTGATATTGTTAATATTTATCCATCTTGTCATGTGCATCTCTGGCTTATTTGTTTTTAATGTTATATAATAATCCATTGTGTGAATACAGTAAAGTTCAGGTATCCACCCTTCTGTTAAGAGGTGTTCAGATTGTTTTTCTCTCTTTTTAAATGTTTGCTCTTAGGAACAGTGCCATTGTAAGTATTCTTATATGTGTCACCTATTAAACCTACCATTTGTTTATTCAGAATATTCATATTTGTTGGATGTCTACTAAAATGAAGGCACCATTCAAGATGCTGGGGCCAAAAATGGAGACGGAAAAAGGTTTTGATCTGTCACGGAACCTAGAATGGAGAAAGGATTCTCTCTGATAATAAATGTTAAGTGAACAAATATGTTTATTCAACTTTACTCATATGTGAATTTTAAGAAACAAAACAGATGAACAGAGGGGATAAGAGAGAGGGAGGTAAACCAGGAAACAGACTCTTAACTCTAGAGAACAAACCGATGGTTACCAGAAGGGAGGTGGATGGGGAAATGGGTAAAATGAATTATGAGGATTAAGGAGGGCCCTTGTGATAAGCACTGGGTTTTGTATGGAAAGGTTGAATATAGTGATATTGTACACCTGAAACTAATATTACACTGTATGTTAACTAACTGGAATTTAAATAAAAACCTTTTTAAAAAAATATTTCATTTTTTCAAAATTTTAGTTATAAAAATTTAGTTATAAATTTCAGTTATAAGGTGGTTTCTCCTTAATTAATCTCATGACACTTTTGTATAAAGAGACAGACTATGACCTTGCAGAGCTTATTGGTGTCTAAAGTCTTTACTTTTAAAATTTATTCCCTTCAAGGCTGAAAAAGATAATATAGACATTTTTTTCTCTTTCAAGCCATGTGGTAGATTTAAAAATTTTTATTACAGGCTGGTAATAGGTGCCCGGTAATAGGTAATGAGGTGCCTGGGTGGCTCAGTCAGTTAGGCATCCAACATTAGCTCAGGTCATGATGTAGTGGTTCATGGGTTCAAGCCCTGCCTTGGGTTCAGTGCTGACAGCTCAGATCCTGGAGCCTGTTTCAGATTCTGTGTCTCCCTCTCTCTCTGCCCCTCCACTGCTCATGCTCTGTCTCTGTTTCAAAAATAAATAAACTATAAATTTTTTTTTAAAAAAAGGTCATTAAGTGACCCAGAGCTGAGCCAAGGAATAACTATGACCATTGGTGAACACTTGTCTAACTTCAGCAGAGAGAACCAATCAGTCATTCTTTTCTTCTCCCATAACATTTGCCACATTTCTCTTACTGTATTACATCATACAGATTTATACCAAAAATATTATAGCATTATACATCTTGTGTTTCCTTGTGTTAGTTGTCCTGACTGTACCTAGACCTTCCCAAAGACAGAATCCATGACTTGATCATCTTTTTATTTAGCTTACTGCTTAGTACTTTTCAAATGCCTATTTTAAGTCTGACACTGGGCTAGATTTTGGTGGATTAAGCCTGTGGACTTGACTTTGATGTAGTTAGATTGCCATTTCTTATATTTTCATCATATATCCCTTCCTCTTATAGATGGGCTCTCATTACCTTATCTGATAAGAACTTGCTTAATGATAGAGCTTTCTAGACCAACTTTAAGGGAAAACAATTCCTTGGAGGCATAAATGCCTTCCTTTGTCTATGTAAGATTATTCAAGCCTTAACAGAAATGGCCATTTTAAAGAAGGAGAACTGTAAATATTCAATGACTATAACATCTCAAACTATTCATGGTTGGAAAAATGCCTCTAAAGGAAAAAAAGAGGAAAAAAATTCCACCTCTGTTTATGGAACACTTCTATGCTTACAAAGCATTCATTGAGTCAAGAGCATGGGGACATTTCCATTCCAGAGAAGAAAAACTCAGTTTCACAATTGGCAAGAGACAAACTCTTGGCTAGAAAACAGGTCTTCTCACTTGAAATTCAAGATAGCTTTTAGAATATAACTTTACCTTAGGGAATTTTGACTAATTCACTAATTATTATTAGTAAATTATAATTAATATTAAATAATATATTAATCAAACTATTCTCTTCCCCAAGAAAATGTGTTCCTTTTTCCTTAAGCCTAAGTTCTGCATACTGGGATAAGCACAAAGTGAGGCAACAGAGAGAGAACTGTGTTGTGATGTGTGTAACATATGTAATCTATGTGGAAGAGTTTGGACTTAAGAACCATACAAATTACTGAGCAGACAAAACATTCTGAGATCCAAGAACAGACCAAGTGACTTCACATTATTCTGTGACTTTTAGTAATATTTTATATACACCAAGATTGTATTTGATGGCAAAGGCTATATAGTAAAACAACTGAAGGTAGAAAGAGCTGGATGAAGTCAAGGCAGAATTAGCCCAGGAGAGCTAAGAACCAGTTTACTTGTTTCCCATAGGAAGTATGCTGGAAGCCCAGTTCTCCCTGAGCTTTTTCAATACCACTATCAGATACAATTAGAAGTAGTTGTGGAAACCATTAGGTGGAATCTACTAATTCAAAAAGTGAGATGCTAGGAATACTTAGTATGCTTGATCAAAAGGACTTTCTGCATATTTAACTATATCATACACATACATGCACATACACACACACTCATAGAACAACACATAGAGGTAGATCTCACAGGTGGTATTAAAGTATGTCAAAATGGATTTATGTGAGCCTCAAGGATTGATTCTCCTTCCTACTACCCTGAGGTGGCTGGTTCTAAAAGTTCTATTGTCAGGTCACTTTGACGCTTCCAAGTTCTGATCACATCTAAGGACAGAATGTATTGTTACATGAGATTCTTCATCCAAATTGGGAAGAATGGTAAATGGAAAGTTTATACAAAATGTTACAGAAGCAAATAAGCAGGCTATTGTGGAATAATAAAGGTACTAGGACTCCTTATAGATGGACATCCCTCAGAAAAGCATTGGAATCTCTTTGGTACAGTCTTGTCCTTATCCATTTAACATGAAGATAAAAAATGACATGTTATGATGAAGTTCTTTTACTTTTATTTATTGTGTGTATTGTTATGTATTACATATTTTTTAATCTGTAAAACTTTTTTATCAACTTGCTTTTGTAGAAGCCCAATGTGTACAACAGATAAAAATGGTTCTCCTTTGACTAAACTGGGGGCAGGCAAAGACAAAGCACCACCTACTTGGTCCCTTATCCAATCATGATAGTGTTATGTATATATATTTGCAAGGAGCTTATTTGCACCCATGTTTGTAATTAGCAAAATTTTAGAGGGAAAAAAAGCCCTTAATTACTAAATTGTTAAAGAAGTATTATATACCATGTTATAAAATGCTATATCATCTCTCACAATAAGTTAATATAAATCTAACTGGAAAGATATTCATAATACATCATTCAACCACTAAATCCAAGTCCAGACCTAAACATTTACAAATGGCATGAATATCCTGATTACATTAAAAATTTTTTGCACACATGCAGAACATAAATTCATATATGTTCAAAGAAATCATGATGTATGTGTTTGTTCTGGACAGTGGGAGAATTAAATATTTTAATACTGCTCATTCTTCTTTGAGAGAAAAGCAGAAGGAGGGATCCCTGCATAAAACTTTGATTATGTTTCATAAAATATGTCATATTAAATTAGCAAATGATTAAAGCTCCTTGGGCAGAGGTTTGATTTGGGTGTGTGTGTGAGGTCCTCTGTTTGGTAAAGCACTGACTGAATGACATTCTTTATTTTCTCATCATATTCAAAAGCAGCTCTGGGCAGAGCCAGTGATCATTTCCCAATGCAGGAAATGGCAGATGAATGTTTTTATAGTAATTGTATTTATTAATCAGTTCTAAGTGGTTTCTTCCACAGTAGCCCTCTTCTGTGAAGCTTAATCTTTGAAAATCTTACTTATGAACTGCATTATTTTAGTGGCACTTATAATAAAGAAATCAGGATATAGTCTATAAAGGACAAAGCACCCCAGAAAGAGAACAATAACCGTTAAGGCTGCTATACTGCATAATTCCAAAGGTGCAATTTATTGCAACCTGTCATTTACAGGAGAAATAACTACAATTCTAAGACTGAAATTCATTGGAAGAAAGAAACTGGAGCAAGAGATAACTAGAAGAAATGAAGACTTCATAATTCTCAGAGGTATTGTGGGGAATCCTTGTATGTAATCCTTGTATGAATTACAACCTACATTATAAATATAAGGGTTATGTCATTCTTAAAATTCCCTGTAACTTTGCACTTTTGTGTCATGGCTGACGTGTAACCATTTAGTGTTCTCAAATGAGGGAAACTAGTGAGTGCTGCTCTGTTGCTCAGCCCAGAGAAGTGTATGATCTGGTTTCTTTCCCTTACTCCTTCACCTCAATACCTTGGTTAACTGTAGGACTCATCAGCAAAATTGCAACTCTACCCTAACACCTCAGCTACTTCTCTATTCCCTTATATCTGAGAACTGCTGGGAGAAAGCATCAACCAAGCAGATCTGTGATGCTACGAAAGGTGACTTGAACCTTGACCACTGTATTCGAAAGTCTCCTATCCAGCTCTTCCACATCTCTCAGAGGGCCTTGATTCCTACTGGATGTGCAATAGAGGAGGAGTTTACTAAAAATGATCTAATCACTTTTCTGTACTTCCACCTATTCTTTCTGTTTCTTTTTTCCTTTTGTCTTCAACTCAAGAAAAATACATCCACACATGTGCCCACATCCCATTTTATTCACCTCCAATTTTTTAAGATTAAAAATTAAACATTTCAGGTATTAGGACTTCCCTGGACACCCTCCTGGCCCTATTTCCCCTTGCCTTTCCCAAAGTTAACAACTATCTATTTGAACTCAGAGAGTCCACATTTACTCCTATTAAAATGAATGTCATCTTCTCGTGGCTATACAACTACTTCACTGTGGTTCGCTTTTCTTTCTTTTTATCTCATGTTCCTCTACTCCATCTGAGGATTATTCCCTACAGCATATAACACTCATCTTTAAAACATACAAAACACATATTCCCTCTAGCTGCGTTCATAATTTATTTCTCTTTACCACAACACTCTGAGAAAATTTTTTAAAAAACCACCTCACTATTATCTTGCCTTTCTTGATCTATTTTTTCCCACCATTCCACATAAATTAATATTATCCAAGATACCAATCATGTGCACAATATCAAATCAAATATTCATTGTTTAGATTCTGTTGATCGTTCTCTTTTTGAAACGCTTGGCTTGAATTTCTGATCATTGCAAATTCCTGGCTTGATGTATGTAGATTCTGCGAGATTTTCCATGTAGATGATTTTATTGCCTGAAAATACTGACAGTTTTATTTCTTCCCTCCTAAAGCTCATACCTCATATTTCCCCTTGAATTATTATAATCTAAAGCTTTTTTGAACCATAAGGTGATTTTTAAAAAAAAGCATCCCAAGTTTTGTTTCTGATATACAGCAAATGTACTGTTCTTCACTGAATAGAATTTGAGTTTTATTACATGGCATTTATCAAAATAAAGGATTTTTTTTTTACATAATTCATGGTTTTTGAGAGTTTGGAAATAAAATACTATCTGGACTTCAGATAATACATATTTTGCATCTGTTTTGTCTACTATATATATATTTTCCCCCTAAAAACAACTTGTATAAAACTGAGATTATATGTATTGCTTGAGCATTTGCTAGATCCTACTTGTAAAATCACCTGGGCCTATAGAAAGGTAGATAATGTATTATGACATTATTTTCTTTACTACTTTTGGTTTTGTTTGAGCCAAATCTCTGTTCTCTTTAGAGCAAAATTATTTGATATAATTGCCCCATCCTGACTCAAGGCAGAGATGAAGAAATTACATTTGTCAGATATTTTTGTTTTGTTTTGTTATTGTCCTCCTCATTCAGACTTTCACTGAGACATAGCTTTTTGAGAGTTCCAACTTGATGCAGGGTTCTCAATTCCACCACACCTTTTTGTATCGGTTCAGCGACCTGTCTCCTGTCCCAGTGGCAATCACTTCTGTTAGTAGTATTATAGTTCTGGCTCTATTGTGTTCACTCCTCTAGATTTGTTTTAGGCCACCATGAATTCTTCTTGAATTTTTTTGCAAGCTCAGCTGTACATGCAAAATAATGTTGTGTTTTCATCTCCAACTGTTTTATAGCAGGAGTGATTTCATTCCAAAGTATCTGATTGCAAAATATAGAAGTCCTATTATCTGTGACTTCTCTAAAACTAATTTATTTTAATAATCTCAAGATGTTGCAAAGCAGTGACCTCCTTCTAACATCCTACTTATTTTCATTTGGAATTTTTCTTGAAGTTATGAAATATATATTTTAAAGAAAAATAATGTGAACACCTGTGTACCTAGATCAATAAACATATATCACTAGTACTCCCAGAAGCCATATATGCCTGTCAACCATCACAGCCTCATCCAAACTGCTCCCTCCATCAGGTGTCCACCCCTTTAACTCTTGAGTGAACAATTCCCTGCCATTTCTTTACAGTTGCACCACCTGCATGTGTATCCCTAAATAATGCATTGATTTTGCCTAGCTTTTAACTTAATGTCTTGTCTAACTGTGCTTGTTCTCAATTTTTAAAAATCAAGATGTCTAATTTCTTTTTTTAAATGTCTATTTTGAGAGAAAGAGCACATGGGTATGCAGGGGAAGGGGCAGAGGGAATATCAAGCAGCCTCCCTGCACTGTCAGCACAGAGCCGATGTAGGGCTTGATCTCAGGAACTGAGATCATGACCTCGGCTGAAATCAAGAGTGTGATGCTTAACTGACTAAGGCTCCCAGGCACCTGTAAGATGTTTAATGTTATGTTGACCTGTGCAGTTATGATTTTTATGTGAGGTGTCATATATCATTTTTATCAGTTCTTCATTAAAATAAGTTATGATTGTTTATACAGTTTCCATTATAAAATGCTAATATAAACTTTCTAAACATAACTTCTTGCACAAGTTTTGTTCTAGATAGTGACACCCTGTGAGTTGATATGCTGGATCACAGGACTTGTACATATTCACCTTTGCTAGAAAGCCCAAAATGTTTCCAATGGGATTTTATCAATCTATACTCCTATCAGCAAGAAATGAGAGTTACTAATTTACTAAGTATCCCAGTCAACATTTAATTTTATCAGTCATTTCATATTTTTGTTTTTGTATTTTAACTTGCATTTCCCTGATTTCTAGTGAGTTTTACCATTTTTTAAATATGTTTATCCCCTATTCATGTTTTCTCTTCTATAATTAAATGCTCACATTTATTTCCATGAATCATGTTTTCTGTTGTTGGTAATAGAAATTCCATATATATCAGATTCTAAGTCTTTATTAGCTATAGATGTTGCAAGTTTTTTTTTTGTTTTGTTTTTTGTTTTTGGTCAGAGTGTGGTCTATTTTTTCACTTTCTTTATGGCATCTTTTAATGAACAAAAGCATTTTTTTTTAAAATTAAGATGTAATTGACATATAACACTATATTAGTTTCAAATATACAACATAATGATTTGATATTTGTATATGCTGAGAAATGATCATCACAATAAATTCAGTTACCATCCATCACCCTACACAGTTGCAATTCTTTTTCTTATGATGAAAACTTTTAAGATTTAGTCTCTTAGCAACTTTCAAATATACAATAGAGTATTACTAAGTATAGTCACCATACTGTATGCTATATTCCCATGACTTATATATTTTATAACAAGAAGTATGTACCTCTTGGCTCTCTTCATACATTTTACCTATCCCACACCACTCTCTCCTCTGGCAACCACCAATCTCTTCTGTTATCTATGAGCTGGCTTTCCTATTTTATTTGCTTATTTGAATCAATAAATAAATATTCTTAATTTTAATATAATTGAATTTGTTTTTATTATAGTTTTCATTCTTTGGAGTCTGGTCATGTCATCTTTAATCAAATAAGTCAGTCAGAGAAAGACAGATATCATATGTTTTCACTCATATGTGGATACTGAAAAACTTAACAGAAGACCATGGGGGAAGGGAAGCAGGAAAAAAAGTTGCAGAGAGGGAGGGAAGTAAACCACAAGAGACTTTTAAATACAGAGAACAAACTGAGGGTGGATGGGTGTAAGGTGGGGGCGAGGGGAAAATGGGTGAGAGGCACTGAACAGGGCACTTGTTGGGATGAGGGCTGGGTGTTGTATGGAAGCCAATTTGATAATAAATTATATTAAAAAATGAAGATAACACCACTGAGAAATCTAAAAAAATAAGTACTCTCAAATACCATTATTGAGGTGCTGATTGTTACATTTAGTTTTTCAATACTTTTGTTAATGAGTATTACTTTTGCTAATGTAACTTTTGATATCTTTGGTTATCCCTTTTTCCTTACAGATACTACTCCCTTTGCTTAAGTGACTATCTTTTGGGTTTTCCTCTTTCATAGGTTTTTTCTACTAAGGGGGTCATATTTTATCACATGTCATATAAGTGTTGTTTTGTGTCATTATTCATTGCTCCTCTCATGCCCTATAGTACTTTTGAGTAACTTCCCTCACTCTCATGATATCACTTACTATCCCCCAACCAAATCCTTTATGGGCTCTTGGGCTTATATATCCAACTTCAATCAGATATTTCCACTTGGATATCATCACTATTTTTCTTCCCTACCTATGTTAGAATAAATTAGTTAGAAATAAAAATGTTAACTTTATTATAAAATAGCTGACTCAAGAATGTGGCTTCATATGGAGAATAAAAGGGCAGGCTGACACTCTTCTCTTAATTAGGCAGACAACTCTGCCCAGTCAGAGGCACAATGGGGTGAATAGTTCTCCTCCACAGTGTCAAAGCTTCTCCCTGTAAGCTAAACCACTCACCAGAGGAGCAGATCAGAAGACACCTTCTTAGAAGGCAGGCATATCCAAAAGATACAGATGTTTTCCCTCAGAATCATCAAGAGATAACTCTCATTTACATTCAGTGGAAAGTCGTGAGTAAAGGATGAGGAAAGAGGCAAGGGACACTTATTTAGAGAAAGTCCTAGATCAAAGGAAAACATTTATCTTTTAACAAAACTTCCAAAATTTTCAATCGGTACCTATCACCTACAGAATTTTATCTAATTTTCCAGACATCACCTTCTTCTACCCATTCCTCTGGCCTCTACTATCTTAAGCATCAACTCTTGCTATATATTATTTTGTTTTCAGTTTAGCAGCACTATATGCCCACAATTTCTAGCATTCTTCATGCTCAGTCTTGCCTTTACTCTTCCAGGTATCCTAACTTTCCTTCCTGGAGTATCCTCAAATTTATCACACAGATATCAGTTATTGACCTAACTCCCATATGTATTCCTTATGTCTCAGCTTGAGTACCCTCCCATCATGAAAGTTTTTGGTTTCCTCCACTCTAGATACCTTAAATGACCCTTGTGCAATACTATGCTCCATTTTCTAAGATTAAATTCCCTTGGTTATGTTCTGATGACCTATTTCATGAATGTCACCCACCCCCAGGCTATAAAATCTTCAAAGTGGTTATCCCCAGATATCAAGAACACTGCAGACATTGAGAATGTTTGATAAGTGGAACTCACCTTCCCTTAAATTTTTGACCTGTTTGTCTAATTTCGGTTGCTTTCCGCCTGGATTTGACAATAGGTTTGATTTCTCAGCTTTGATCCCTTTCACTTTTTTTTTAGATAGGAGTCTATACTTAATATTTCTTGGCCTAGGTCAACTCCAACCTGATTGCCTGTAGGACTGCATCTCAAATACCCTACACCTGGCCTGCACTGGACCGATGAGATGTGAAACCTCCCTTACGTCTCTGCCCTTCTCATCTTCTGCAGAGCTTTCAGAGTAGAACTCTACACAGGATTTTAAAAATGAAAACTGCCTCTGATGTCTGTGTTAAGAGGTGGGGAGGCATATTTCTTTCAGCAAACATTTATAAAATGTTAAATTAATGTTCTTTTCTGTTTTTTTACAGTGTGATTAGGTGATCCTGCCTGCCTAGTAACAGAAAACTGAAGACAGGAGCAGTGTTTAGAATTAAAATCAAATAAAAATTTTCAAAATTAATCTGACACACTCATATTACACATAACTGTTATTGTACATATGGTAATATGCTAGTAATAGTAAATAGTCCTCACAAATAACTGTCAGCAATATTACTTCCTCATAGTGGAACTAAGAATTATTATTTTGCTTTGTTCATTCTCCAGTACCTAGAAACAGAAGTAGAGGTTGGCAGTTTCCCTGATTGTATGTATGTGCAGTTTAATCCTCTTTAATCTTTTGCACATAACCAACTTATTTTTAGTGAAATCTAGAATCTAATTATTTTTCCTCAGTATCCTAGAATTCTATGGCTTTTAATGCTAATGATTTCCTCCTTACTTGATAATTCTGTAGTGGAAAAGACCTCTCCTCCCTTCATACCCTTTGGAAGAAGATCCTATAAATAGCTACTTTATCAAATGGCCACCTAGAAATCACCAGATGAGAATGTGAAAGTATCTTTTCAGCCAAAAATGGTGCAATAAGAGATTATGTCAATAAGGTTCATTGATTATAAGCAACAAAGACTAACTTCATTCAAGACTTAGTGCCTTTGAACTTACATTGGTCTTGGACTTATATGAGTGTTACAGTGAAAGTAGTTTTAGATGAGTAAATTAAGTAAAGCTTTTATGAGCTGTCTGTTGGTTTTCTTCCTCAGTCATTTATAATATGTTCACTTCAGCTAGAGATCTCTATGAATCAACCTATTTCCAAAAATATGTTTATGTAATCATATCTGTACTTATACTATTACATTCCATAGTTACATTCCATCATCAGCTAGATTTATAAGGCTGATAAGGTCCATTTCGCTTCTAAGTTTAATTGCTTCCATTTCTATTCTACAATCTTAAACTTCCTTCAGTTCTACTGAGAAAAGGTATTCTATTTTAACAATTTAAACCTTCCAACCAATGTATTTGGCCAATAGAAAATAGCTATAAGTTGTTTTCTAAACATTTTGGTGTTTACCACACCAATTTATTCCTAACGATAAAAAAGAATAGGGGTCTTGTGAAACACTGTCAGGTAACATGGTGAAGGAAATTATAGGAAGGCAGGAAACACAGTATTCCTATTTCACATTTAAAAATCTTTGACTACATTATGCCAAATTTTCTCTGACTTCATAAGTCATTTTTGTAGGTTAGCTATAAACTGAAGTTTCATTGCTCAATATAGCAAACTGTTAAAAAAAAAAAACAGCCAAATGTATCAATACCTTATTTAATATGGAATGCCTTATAAATATAGCCATCTCAACAAATTGACCCTGATTAAAAATAATGACCTTACTTCCTTGATTAAGCATCCTCTAAATCAATGCTCCATTATTTTTAATAATATAAATTAATAAATTACTGTATTTCTTCTTGGATATAACTTTGATTCTACTTTTCACTGTGTACACAATTTTGAATGCAAATTCCTATTTCCCAGTGAACAGTAATGAAAAGAGGGTCATGACTTCCTCAAGCAAGGCAGCTCTTTTGGACAGCATTTCAGAAGTCCTCTGGGCCCTCCAAGAAATTCTGATTACAATTATTAGGTTATAACGTTTTTAAAAAATCAGGATCTTGACTTTCATCTGAGAGATTTGACAATGTTGTGCATTCAACTGGAGTTGTAATTCATTAACCCACAGAATGACTCTGTGACCTTGGTTTTTGGGAGTGCCAGCCTCCAGTTATAAGAAATAAGAAATTATTTCAGTGTATCTCATACATTCCCAGTTTCAGTTCCTGACCTGAGGCAAGGATTTTGAAGTTAAAGTTTGTTTTTTCTTGCCCAGTTATTCAATGCCATTTAGAAACAATTGTTCTATCTTTTTTTTTTTTTTAAGTCCTCATTTACTTTAAATAGGTAGAATGGGAGCACCTATCTTACTTCCTCCGTCTTGAGCTTCAATAGTGACAGTATCTTAGGTTCATACAAATAAGAATCATTCAACATGACCTGTCACTTTCCTAGCCTCACTGTATAAATAGGATTTTCATTGGATTTTACCTAATTACAACCTATGGAAAATAGGATCTTTGAGGATTGATTGACTATATCTCTTGTTTATTTCCAGTTGTTATGTTAGCCAGAATTCTTAGGTTAAAGACAATAGAAATGGGCTCTTACTAATTTAAAGGGAGAAAGCAGGGGATATTATTTGAAAGATATTAGGGTATTACCAATAAACGAAAGGAAGGTGGACTCTAAGAACATTGGTGAGGATTTGGACCAGGACATTTCTGGGTTCAATTTTAGGAGCTCATATATTGTTGTAAAGTAAGTCAGCTCCACTGGCTATCTATTGCAATAATGCCCAAAGTAAATCCTTTGGTCATTTCTTAATAGGTGATTGTATATGAAAGGAGAGAAAAAAATAATATGAATTATCTGGAAATAATGACCCAGAACAGAGTGGATAAGGTATATGAACATGTTTTTGGACTTCCTCAATTATAATAAACAAAGAATTATACAAGTAGAAATGTCTGTCAAATGGTTTAGAAAACTGGACACTAGAGGGGGCACCTTGGTGGCTCAGTGGGTTAAGTGTTTGACTTTGGCTCAGGTCATGATCTCACCACTCCTGGTTTGGAGCCCTGTGTCAGGCTCTGAACTGTCAGCCCGGAGCCTGCTTTTGCATTTTGTGTCTCCCTCTCTCTCTGACCCTCCACCACTCACATTCTATCTTGCTCTCAAAAATGGACAAATGTTAAAAAAAATTAAAAAAAAAAGAAAATTGGACATGAGAGTATATTTGGAATAGGATGAATATTTGGAAATTATTTAATAAATAAGATATTTGAAACCCTACAGTAAATGAGGCCTTTTCAAGAAAGTCTTTGTAGGAAAAAGGCCGAGAAAGAAACCAAGTAGACACCAAAGTTTAGTGACATATAAGTATGACTAAGATAATTAAGTAGTTAGATTTAGAGATAGTAGCCACAGAAGGAAAAAGAGAACAGTAATAGAATTATAAAGTCCCAGGGAGATATTTTGAGAGACAATATTTTATCCTATATTCAATACTATACAGAACAGTAAAAATTAAAATTATTATTAAAGAAAAATGAAGAAAATGGTATTTGCTGTCGTTTTTATTAATAAACATTTTATGAGTTTATTATTGCTCTAAAAGTATGGTATGTGGCAAAAATAAAATAAAAGGCCACAAATTCATCTCCTTCCTGTATGCATGTCTCTTTGCCATGTGACATTTTAGTTTCTTTCATTAAGAGATGGAGTGTCATCCACTTCACCACTGCTTGAAGATGAGCTTTTCTTTAACAAATGGCACTTTAGCTCCATAGTGTTAGAGTAGCGAGGACTGTCCTCTTTTCCTCTTTTGACAGTCTGCAATCCACCATCATGAGAATGATCCTGAGCTAGCCTGCTAAATAAAGAGACTTATGGCCAAGTTACCCCACCACTGCCACAGCTAATATGGAATCAAGTTATCCCACCATTGCCATAGCTAACATGGAGTCAACCGCCAGACATGTGAGTGATTTTCTTTCTCTATTGGTTCACTATTGACTTCTGCAGTATTAACTCCCTTACATTTCTACATTTCTAAATTGTGATTGATTACAATGGGGAAAGATTCTATGGTGACAGAAAGAGCACTTAGGTAGAGAAGGAAGAAACAGGGCATATGGTGAGATGCTTGAAAGTGCTATGTAATTGTTGGTAAACTCAGTAGTTTCGAAGGCTACATATATATGGAGAAGGGAATCAACCTCTGCTAGAACATGTGCATTTTCTCTAACAAGTGCCTGATAAGCTTATTTTTTAATGTGTATTTATTTCTGAGAGAGAGAGAGAGAGAGAGAGAGAGCAAGCGAGCATGATCAGGGGAGGGTCAGAGAGAGAGGAAGATACAGAATCTGAAGCAGGCTCCAGGCTCTGAGCTGTCAGCAAATAGCCCAATGCGGGGCTGAACCCACGAACTATGAGATCATGACCTGAGCCGAAGTTGGACACTCAAACGACTGAGCCACCGATGCATCCCTGATAAACTTTAAGTAGTCAGTTTGGTTTTCTATACCTTTACAGTTTTCTAAAAAAATATGGAGAGATAGGATTTGCATCTTCCTTTTATATATGTAGAGAAATTCACCCAGGAGGATATTATTAATGGTGACCATAATATAAGCAGTGAAAAGAAAAGAGTGACAAGCACTCAGTAGAAGGTGGTAGAAAACAGCCACCTCATATTTATTACTCTGTGCTCCTAATATTTACCCTCTTAATATATCACCACCTACGGGTCTGAAATAATACAGAAAGGATCAGTAAAGTTCTGACTCAAACGATCATATATAATTTATTGACCATATGATGCTAACTAACATCATGGGAACAGACTAGTGGCTCAAGCCTGGCTCAAAGGACCATCTTTTAAGTGAGGATAACGTTTCACCTTGGATAACATTTAACAATAACTTCAGTCTTTACTCTCTCCCTAACAATACACAATTCATGATAAAATGGCCACAAAGAGTGGAAATACAAGTCTTTTAACTTGCTCTTCAGGGCCACTTCAGAGAAAAAATATTTTATATCGTGTGATCTTCCTTTCACCACTGCTCATCATGCTCCCCTCTAGTGTTGTTCTCTACACAGCCTGAATCAAAGTATTATATCATCCTATTTTATTTTCATGTTCTTTTCTCTATGTAAAAATAGCATTAATTACTCTATAATTCAATGCCTTTACTCCCATAGTATAAATTCCACCCAAGCAGAAAACTTGTCTGTTTCATCAATATCTCCAGTGATCAAAATTTTGTCTGACTATGAGTAAAGTAATTCTCTAACATTCTAGATATAATAAGGGAATTCAGACCCTAACCATCAGACTCATCCTGGTGGAGTCTTATGGTAGGAAGTTCAGTAGAGCTATAATGATGCCAAAATACTTCAAGTCAAAGACAGGAGGTGAAGTGATCTTCACACAGATTCAGCTTCTTAAACAGCA